GTATAAGATGGATATACTGCATATAATATTTCGATATTGATGATGTTGAATATTGACATGGTGGAGATAAAATTTGACCGATGACGCGTGCTGAAATAGGTATAAAATGAGTAAGAGTTGGTTTAGGTAAAAGAATAGAACCAGCAACAGTAGATTCTAGATTGTATTTTAGAAGCAGCTGACGTAAAGATGTGCTTGCCTCTGGTACATAGACGTTGGTTTGAAGAAACTGCAAATACTTGGGCTTGTCTTCTTCAGCTTGGTTCTGTTTAAGACACATAAATTTCATATCTAACAGGTTCACTGGGCAGGAAGATTTTCGATTTGGATGATGCCATTGTTGCAGGTGTTGTGTACATGCTTCATAAAGGTTGTTTTGATCAAAGTTCAATAATGCAAAACACAGTGCAGCAAGATGTTTGCATGCTGCACGGGGTCCTTTTCCAGCAACACATTGGCAGGTTCCTTCCAGTATATCAGCTGATCAATTATTGTTTATTATTAATTGTAACTAGAAACACAAAAATTGAAGAACAATAAAATAATTAGATATGCTTACGTGATATGTGACTGATTTTTTCATTTGAGCACGACATTTGGCTGATATGATTCTCTTGATGTAATGGCAATCAATGGTGATGGAATGGACGAAATGATCTTTAAAAAAAGGGTGTGTGTGGGTGTGAGAGTGTGTGTGGGTGTGGGTGTGAGAAAGAGAAGAACTATACCAATACTCACACCCACACTCACACCCTAAGAGTAAGAAACATTAAGTTTGTATCGTGGAAAATGTTTTTTTGTGATGCACATAGCCAGTAAAATATTGTGTGAAACTATTGAGAGAAAAAGTCACAAAATGAAGAAATGCTGAGAGAATAATGTCGGAATTTGAATTCAATGCAAATCATACATATTTCTGTAGTGTCAAAATTGGAACTTGAATTCAATTATTGAAGACTACTTTAAGTATTCAACTATTCAACTTTTTGAGTTTCCACTACTCAAGTAAAAAGACTTCCATTATTGGTGTCTCCATGAGGCACAGATTTTACGGTACCCGCACCTAGTGCGCTTTGAGGTGTTTTCATGAGGTATAGCTTTTGAAGCGCAACTACACCCGCTGTTTTACAGAAACATCCATAGCTGAATACTTGAACAGTTGAATTTCAAGTTTCAAGTATGACGTATATGTGCGTCTGACTTAGAAATAATCAACAATTTTCTACTGATCGATATTTACTATTCTTTACTTTCTTGTTGATTCTTAAAGATGTTCTCTTCTAATTTGTTTAATATGTTTTTAGGTAAAATATGCAGCAGATCTGCAATCAACGAAAACAAAGGAAGATCCTGTTCAATCTGTTATTGAATCAATACGAAAACAACTGTTCAGTGTACTGATAGTATTTGATCGTATAGATAACCAACAAACCAATGAAAAAATCGGTCAATGTGTAGAACCTCATGAACATTCATGCAAACGTTTTGATAAGAATTTCGTGTTTCGTTATTCAATGCTTTTACGTCTTCTGAACGCTTTACCGTATTCATCAAGCAGAAATGATCTTATCGAATTATTTGAAAAAGAAAATTTAGCCAGTCCGACATCAATCGAAGAATTTAAAAACACATACTCACCGGACAATGCAGTACTTTTTTATTCTAAATATGAATTTATCTATGGCAAACTCAATAATGCACTACGTACAACAAATATTCGTCATCTCTTTCTATTTCGATTTATTCTTCAGGATATATGTAATCAAATGTGCCAATTGACGTCTCAAGAATCAAATAATCATGCATTTATTGTATATCGATGTCGACTATCCAGTCAATATGAAATAGCTGATTTGATTTCCGCTTACAATCAAGGTTCATCTGTGACAATCAATAGTTTTTTTTCAATATCAAAAAGTCGAGATTGTGCCATAGATTTTCTTCGTGCAACAAATGTCAATCTGTGTGACTCCGAACGCTTACCAACTCTTTTCAAAATTATTATTCATAAAACAGATGTATGGCGTCTTTTTCCACTTGCTGACATCTCGCAAATCAGTCAGTTTCCTGGAGAAGAAGAAGTATTAATCACATCCGAACACATGTTCACTATTAATCATTTTCGATATTATTTTTGAAAGAGATATAAATGTCCATTCATTTGAAATGACTTTACAAAAGGGATTTAACGAAGATGTAACCAGTGTATACGACAAACTTAAACAAACATGGAATATAGAAATGAATAGTCTATTTCTATATATTGGCAAATTACTTATTGAAGAGAAACGGATTGCCGAAGTAAAAGAATATTACATGTTATTACTTTCTAAAAATCATGATAAAAAAACTAACTATATTTGCTACCGAGACTTCTCTTGCATAGCTGTTCAACAGAATAATATGAATGAAGCTAAGCTTATGCTTGAAAAAATGAATGAAACGAAATTCGTTACTACAACATTTTTAACAAACCTTCACAATCTCGCAATTAGCAAAGCAGATAGTGTCAATAGCAAGAAAACTATTGAGCAACTGATGAATATGGAATTACTAACGTTTTTCGATCGACCATTGAATGAATTATTGGCTGATCTAGAAAGTGAGAAATTTCATACTACTTTCGAACAAGTAAATGATAGGATATATAAGCTTGCTTCGGTACTGATAAAAAACGGTATGTATGGACTGGCAATTCAACAAATCGAGATTGTACTACACGACAGCGAATCAATCTGATTCATTCCATTGGAACCTTTACATGAAGTAAAATATAACATCCAGTTGGGTCATTGCTATCGCGAACTAAAATCAAATGATGCAGCTTTAAAATATTACAAATTGGAACTTGAACAAAATATTCATTTATCACCTGATGAGTATGTCGAAGCAACAATCGGCATGGGTAAAGTGCTGGAGGCCACAAATAGTTATGGAGAGGCTTTACAGAATTATATTGAAGTGGCAGAAATTTGTAAAAATGATGTAAATATAGGCGGTCCCGAAGAACGTCATGAAATTGAAGAATCCATTAAACGAGTTGTATCACATTTTATCTAAATGAACTGAATCTATGAAATCGATAACTTTTTATGCATCCAAACTCAGTTTTATTCGAATTCTCATGCGCGTTAGAACTACAAGAAGCACTTTTACTATTAGAAATGAGAAATTTGACTAAACATTTGTCTGACTATCACCTTCAATCTCATATGCGAGACCGAAATTCATTCTTACATTCTAATTCACTGAAAAAGTTTATATCGAGGACGGGTAGGTGTGGGTTTGAATCATCTCTTCACCCCCACCCGTACACCCACACCCACCCATACTCACACCCTTATTAAACTGCAATACTTATCCTTTAATATAACTGATCGTTAATAAATTTTATTTACTGGTATTTTACTGATCACTTAAATAATAGCCACATGTAATCACTGAAAGATACTATTGTTTTTCATTGACTTAAATTAACGGAGATTATAAAAATCAAACAGATGAAGCATAAATAAAAATTTTCTTTTAAGAAAAAAAAATCGCACAAAAATATCCTGCGCGTTCTGCAATACCGAAATTCTTCATCTTTCACTTTTTTATCTTTTATGGTTTTTTTTTTGACCTGAAGACACATTACTTGTTCGCAGCATAGAGTGATAAAGATAAAAAAAAAAGAGAGAAAAGAAGAAAAAGTTGATAACTCGATGTTACAAGCGCTAAGTTATGAGTACATAAACACCAATTAATTACAGATAAATTCTGAAGCTGCGAAAAAACTGTGTCGTTATTTTTGGCTCAAATCATTCAAACTTAATATCACACACTGATTCGACTTTTAAGTATTGTTTTATCTATGTTTAAGATATAGTTGTAAATTGACTGTATGTCTCATGTTTCGTTTTTTTTCATCTTTTTGTTCAACATTTATTTGTCATAACATGTGTCATTTTTTTATCTGTATTGTTATAGAATAAATTCCAAAATGCATTGGATATTTTATACAAATTTTGCATTAACATTCACCGTTATGAATTGTTTTATTCCAATAATGATGCATCTTCAAGATGAAAATCTATTTGAATTATCTAATGAACATTTAACTGTTCAATTTAATTTATCTAATGGACAAATAATATCATTTAATTATACATCGCAATTAATTACAATAATTAATGAAACAAGTTTAATCTTTATCGAGAATTTTCCACTTGATTGTTCAAAATTAATTGATTATAAACTAAATGTTAATTCTATTAATTTTACTTATTCTTGTTCAAATAAAATAAATTATCAATTAATAACAATCTATACTCTTCAATCTCAATGGGAATTTCTCGAAAAACAAATTTATTTCGAAAATATTGGTAATAAAACAATCACATCAATTCAAACAACATTTACTCTAACAAATAGAACTATTCCATCTGTTTCAATTATACAAAATCAACAAGATTTAAATAAACAACATACAGTTTTTCTACGAACCGAATCAATCACATTAGGAATATTTGCCACATGGCAACATCCATTTGGTCACTATTCTGTCACATCAAATAATCAAACAGTAACAAGTTCATATCAAATCGGTATAAACACAACTTATTTAAGTGAAGGTTTTCTTATTGGTTTTTATCAATTATCTTCTTATTGGCATACAAATGATATTAACTATAGTGAAAGAGAAACTTATGAAAAAGTTACAAACTTTTTTTATCCCGTTCCTCAACGTAAACAATCCATTAAACATGCAGTTGGATGGGATAGTAATGATTATCAAATTGATATTTCAACTGCACATGGTATTGATGAATATAAACGTTTAACTGATCGTTGTTCTCAACTTGGTATAAAAAGTTTAACATTTGCTCCATCAAATACTAATGTATCCAATCGTCAAGAATCAACCGATGATTGGGGTTGGGAATCTGTTTTATGGTTATCCCTAGGAGAACAAATTCGTTTAGAACAATGGAAACCTTATCGTGATCCACTTCCATCAACAATTCAAGAAATGTTAGATTACGCAGAATTGAGACAAATAAAATTAGTTCCATATGTTTATCCGCCATTAGGTTATCAATTAAAAGGAAAAGATCAAGCATGGTTATATCCAAGTTCACATTGTAGAACTGTCTGTGCATCATTAGCAAGTGTTGAATTTCAAGAATATTTTTTAAAATTATTAATTGATTTTGCACAAATTACAGGTAAATTATGACAACAATTTTGAAAATTAAATGTGATCTATTTTGTTTTAGGTATTGGTGGATATGCATGGGATTATAATTTTTTTTATGATTCTCGAAATACAGAATATAGCCAATGGCGTGGTTGGCAATGGATTCGTAGTGAATTACTTCTTGCTTTACCTTATTTAATTATGGATCATCGTTATGCATCACAATATGATGGTCCATGGTCATGGATAACTTTAAATGGTTATACATCACCTTTATTAAGTGATGAAAATCCTGAAACATACCCAATTTTATATCCATCTTTACATACAGATAAAATTTCAGCAGATTTTATGCGTCAAGGAAATGTTGAATTACGTTTAGAACATTTTGCATCAATGGATTCTATTCCTGGTTTTATTGGACATCAACAAGAACGTTATTTATCAAATGGAAGTTTACCATGGATAGATAATAATTTAAGAGATTTTGATCTCTTAGGTTTTTCATATTCATTATTATCTAATATAGCAACAGCTGGTTTAAATCTTATTCATACATTTATACCGGCAAGAGATTTACAAGAATTTTATTCTTTGCCGATAGATTTTTTACAATTTTGGACTTATTGGTTAAAATGGACAGATGAACATATAGAAGAAATACGTAATGCTATACCGTTTAATTTAGAACAAGATTGGTCTTTAATGAAATCTAATGGTTTTGATGGTTTTTTATTTTTATTTAATCCAAATTATAAACAAATTAATCGAACGATTTTCTTAGATGGAAAATTAAATTTAAAAGAGTCCCACGAACAAGGTTATTGGTTATTAAAAGAGATTTATCCTCAAGAAAGATTTATACAATTAATTGAATATGAACAAACAATTGAATTTTTATTAGATGGTCAAAGTGTTACAGTTTATCAATTAATGTTTATTTCAACAATTGATCAACCAATTCTTGTTGGAATTAGTGGACAAGCTCTTCTAACAAATAACAATGTTTTACTTATCGATGGTGTTTATGGTGAAGCTGGTACACAAACCAATAATCAGATATTTGTTATCTTACCAAATGAAGAATTGATCCTGTATGTTTTTGTAAATGGGAAGGATACGCATTTTCAACCAATCAATGAATTCATTGTCTTAACTGATTCTTTCGCATTTCCCGGTTTATATTTACCACGTTCAGCTGAAATTCTTAATAATACAATCATTATTAGTGATTTATTATTGGAACAATTAAAAAGACGACAATTACAATATCCTATTCAATGGACTGAAAAAGAATTAAATGATGCATCATGGTTAGGACCACATCGTCTTTTATTATTCATATGTATTCTCAATCCAAATGATCAATGGAATATAACTGCTCAAATAAATAATAATTCGATCATTGTACATAAAGGTTATAATACACGTGATCATATTGATCGAGATCGATTTATGGGATTTTACTTAGATTTAACTAGTATTGTTGTCGAAGCAAATGTGGAATATCATTTATCATTAAATATGCCAAAACTTAATCCAGGACAATTTCAAGGATTATTTTTAGAAAATATTGAAAGAATTCTTGTTGAACCATAGATTTTTCTTCTCTAGATTTTGTTTAAAATAAAATCTATCTTCTTCAAAAACTATCCTGAGAGTGAGAATCTGCTTAAACTGCACATATATCGATACAATCCAATTATAGCATATCAATAATAGAAAGATGTATAAGAAATAGAGGGTCAAATGACAGATAGAGCCAACTCATGTCGTCATCTTTTCAGAGATACTGCTGGTAAGCCGCAGCTTATCGGCGAGTGTATAATTAGTTCCACTTTCTTAGATTAATACAGTAATACAAGGAGCTTTTACGAAAAGATGATCTTTTTTCACATTATAGAACTTGTGAAACTTGAAAACAGTCATTAAAAAAATGAGTCCATGAATTCTGACAGATGATGCTGCGAGAATTTTCTGATTAGTCTATTGAGTTGTCCACACTCACACCTCACACTCACACCTCACACTCACACCTCACACTCACACCCTGTTTTCGACAATGGAGCCGAAATTGAACAATGATTGCACTATTGAATAATTTATCATTTCAATAATAAATCCGTGGCTAAAAAAGCCACAATGTTTGTCATGATCTATGAAGCAAGGATACGCTCACCTTTCTGTCGATATCGTTCCATACTGATTATCAATCGTAGCTTCAAAAAGTATTATATCAATAGTGATAGAACACTTTGAGAGGTTTTTTCATAAATCTATGCCAAATCAATTCTATCATTTATATGTGACATAAGGAAGTAAAACTACACAACAACTGAAAAAGTACAATCAAATCGATGTTCGTTCATTGAGTGACCGTAAATGAGTCCTTGCCAACATCATAGGTGCTTGTGTGAGGATGATGTGATCCGCATACTCCATTACAGACTTCGGCTGTAACATTATAAGTACCAACTGGCCAGTCATCACATAATCCTACTCGACGCAAAATGAAAAAAACGGACATGATTTAGCAAAATCAACGACTCTTACCTAGCGTTGGATTACAGTTTGTTTCTTGGATGGCATCAAGAGCAATTCGTTCGATGTATGTACCTGGTTTTTTCGCTTCAAACCAGAATCCTGCGGAAGTCGCTTGCTTCTTTGGATTGACGATTGTGATGAGATAGGTACCCGTGCCTGTACCATTCTTGGTTACGAAGGAAACATCAACGATAAATTTAGTGCTACGATTTCCATGGCTTGGTAAAATACGATAGTTGGTGAATTTGGCATCACCATGATCATTAACTACAGATAAGAATTTTCAATAGACTACGGTGAAGAAACAAGAAAACGTTATTTATTACTCGGACACATCTTGGCTACTTCGCAATACCATATAGGATCGATATCCAAACTAATCAATACTTTGATAAACTCATCAATACCAAAAGCATCACAGACAATATCGCAAATTTCACCAAGTGCCTTGGAGCCCGTTTTATTGGCAACAACATTACACAAATCACCGCACGTTGCCAGAATACCTTCATCAAAGATTGCGTTGACTAAGATATTGATGACTGTGACTGCTTCGTTTATGCAAGTTGGACAGAGATCGAAACCAACTTTGGTTTGACTAGGACTGGGAGCGAAACGGTGAATATTCTGTGATCGGCTGTTGGTCAGTCGGAAGCCACTGGCTAAACTAACACCAACGAGAACGATCAAAGTAAGAGTTGTATGCATCGCGCGTTCTTTTTTACAAGCTGAGATTAACGCTCGTCTATCTTACATATAAATACGATCCGTATGAGAATCAAACAAGCTGTGGCATATGCTGGAAGAATCCACACTATTTGCCGTCGACTTCTATGTACACATATGGCTAGATTTTCACACTATTCCCTGTTTGACTATACCTCAAAAGTAAACTGTTATTTTTATGACTTAGTATTTCACACTATGTTTTCAACAGGCCTTTACTTACTTATAACGAAAGTCCACGAAAGGTGGTAAAATGTTGAACGTGACAAAAAGAATAAAGGTGAATACCAAAATTGCGACCAGTTTTGTTCTTACGTGCACGATTCTTTAGGTGGCTTCATCTACCGCAAATGTTCGGTTCACATAAGAACGTTTCATTTTTTTATTTAATTGAAGAGAATATGGATGTGGGTACGGATATTATCATCTTCATCCCACACCCTTGTAAATCCGAAAACCCATTATAACTGATGCGAATTTTTTAATTTTTTTCCCAGTAAGTTAAAACATAGATTGTAGTCACTAATGCAGTTCTTCCTTGCTAACTTTACAGTAAACACTGTTGCGTAGAACTCTGTTTGACATAGCCCTACGAAATTATACTAGTCGTAAAAATTGTTCAGTGCTAGGAGAATTATTTTCCAAATTCCACAACATTAGTTGGGACGCTGAAGCTCTCACTGCAGTCAGCTAATAGGAGCCGATTAGTGATTTTATCATGAAAACTTTGATTATTGGTAAGAAAGATTTAAACAACGCATGTTCTTTCTAATCCCAACCGATTGTATTGACATGCTGAAGAGTTAACATATCGATTGGTGTGAAATATATTCGAGCTTACATACTGATTGCCCATATAAATGCTGTTATTTGAAGTTGAAAAGCAATAGAAGTGTGAACAACCATAGCTTCTCAAAAGAGATACTTTTTAATTAAACATTTCGCTATTTAAAGAAAGCTTTGGCTATTTAAAATTCTCAAAAGAGATACTCTTTAATGAAACTTCGCTATTTAAAAAGGTCTTAGCTATTTACAAGCTGTGATATTGATTTTTTCGGACTTAGCCAGCAATTTTAACAAAATACTAGTACTACTGAATTATTTAAATAGATGTGTAGCTCTTTGTTTTACATTATAATTTTTTTCATCTATAGCAGTCCTAAACTTCATCCAACAGGCTACAAAAAACATTGAATCAAAAGAAATTATTTCAGATGTTTTAGAAAGTAACAGAATATGACCGATTGTTAGATTTTTTTCATCATCTATCAATTAAAGTAATATTGTGCCGGAACAATATTCATCATTAGTTACAGAAGGTTGTGTCACACTATAGTCAAAAACATTTACTTCCTATTTGAATATCTGTTGTTAATACAAAATGTTCCTATCTAATGTTTTAAATACAATCGCCGTTTATTTGAATATTTGTAAACCTCTTATAAACAATATTCCAGTCAAAAAATTGAATCTAGACCACAGAATAACGAATAAACGAGATTTTACATGCATATTCTACGGATGAATATTTGTTGATAATGTTGATAATATATCAATCTATAAAATGATCATGTTCACTTCATTCACTTTTTTCTATGCTTCAAAAAAATCAACAGTTTGAAATAAATTGCTGATAAGTTTTAAATATCTATAAAGATTTTTGACAGTACGGATAAAAGCAAATTTCAATATCTGATACCTTCAAAAGACTTCTATTGCGTTCACCAACATGGACTTCTAATTTTCTAGACACTCCTGAGCCTTCAACAAATTCATATGGTTTGATGAGGTATATCAGTACTTCACAAACTTTCACATTTTAAATCTTTGCTCTTTTTTCTACAAAATTTTAAAAAATCATAGTTGTAGAATCATATAGATATTTAGGAAAACCAGGCATACATAACTTGATGATGATATTTTGTAAATAACTCACAATCATCTCGTAACCCCTGCTCTGAAGAATCAGTAAGGTAGAATGAATATTTGAGGAGAATATCTATTAGTGCTGATAATGAAGTATTCTTTTTGGTGCTTATAGGAATAAACATGTAATTGTCAATATTTTGTTTATTATTCAAAATCGCGAAGTATGATTTAGTTTTTTTCCTTTCTATGATACATTTAAATAGTTGCAAAATCTTTAGATAGCTATGACAGGATTAAATAGCCAAGTGAAAGATTAAATAGCTATGGCAAGTTTAAATGGCTACAAGATCTTTAGATAGTTGTAGTGGAATCAATAGCCAAGTAAGAGATTAAATAGCTATAGCAAGTTTAAATAGCTATAAAATATTGAGATAGCTATGACAGTGATCAATAGTTAGACTAGGAAATGATAGAACAAATTTCTTTTTCAAGTCATTTGGTGTTAATTATATACAGAAAAGAAATTGTGTCTCTTTTGAGAATGAGCCGTGAACAACACCTTATTACACTCGATATGTAGACTTAATGAATCAATAAGTAATGTTGTTGCAATTTATCAATAGTCATGCTTGTGCTCAATCAAAAAAAACTGATTCTCATCTTTCAGAGGCAAAGATCCTCTATATTACAGTATGATACATGCATTTTTTACTCGAAAAATGAAGTTTTTCATTGAAAATTTAAAGAGGACATAGCAGACAAATGATCTGTCTGATATCCTGCCATGACTTATCTGTTTTAAACTGCCTACTTGCCTTGTAATAGGTTCGAATATTAGAGCGCATGGTCTGTTTGTACATCTGCTCGCAAGTTCTTTTTTTTTATTCAAACCAAGTTTACTTTTAACTGTTTTCCTGTCGATTTTTTAAGGTAAAGCAGGTAAATACGATTATGATTTTTCAAAAACAAAAACTTCCACTAAAATTACGAGAGCTTATTATATCTGCAAACGATATTGATTTCAATGACTTCAACCTTCTACATAGTGGTCCATAAGTAGAGGAACAATAAAAAGGATGGAATATATCCGATCAGTTCCACTTAAATGAGCTAATATTTTTATCGATGTTAGAGGTTCGCTCAAAGTTTCTTTTGATAAGAGAATCACTAGCAAAAAATCGCGTTAAACCATTCTTATTTGATTTATTTATATCAGGGTTGCTAGATATTTCAAATTTTTTCCGCATTTTCGATACTTTCTATTTTATTCATATTTCATTTATCTGTTAATATTCTTAAAAACTTAGCGTTTTGAAAAAGGGTTGATTTTTCCTTCATTCTTGCATATATTTTCTCCTTTTACAACAGTAGAATGAATGAACAATGTAATTTGTACTTTGCACTCATCTTTCCTTTATATAGAAGTTTATGAATTTTTTTTTTCATCAGAACCGGAACTG